GATAACGGGTTGTTCTGAATCACCCTGTATATGTATACATAGTTAAAAGTAGTAGAATATGAAATTGTGTATATGAATAATTTGAATATATTATTTCAAGAATCAATAAAAAAAATATATAAAGCACTTAATCGATCGGTTTGTTATCTTCGTATCGTATGTATATGTGTTTATATATTATAATGAGAAGACACATTTCTCTATCCAAAGATATCAAGATATATATATATATATATATATACACACACACACATTGATTTTTTTTTCATTAATATGCGAGAAAAATAATGTACCTTCGTATAGGACTGGATATGGCAAGTGGAGTGGGAACTCCAATAGCTTTGATGCGCTGTTGCATCGTTGGACTGGCACCACCTTGACCTTGACCACGTTGAGGTGCCGTGGCGGGCGAGCCACTCGTCTCCGGTGATAACGGATCGGGTGTATGACTTCGAGATCCATTCATCCCTCTTCAGACATGACGAATATGAGAAATTGTGAAAAAATTTATATATGTAAGAACATCGTTATAAATTTGTCGTACAACATACCTTGGTCTAGGATGTGGGCTGCCTCTAGGATAATGCATCGGATGACGATGTTGCGAGGTCGGAGGGTGCCTGGGAGATTCATTGTTCTCCACAGGTGGCAGGAAGAAATTGCTTTTGGAACCGTGTCTTTGTAACGGAGGCGTGGGTTCGCAGTCCGCAGACTGAGATGCAGTCGGTTCCATGTCTGTATCCGATCCGTCTCGTCCGGGAGATAACTATAATGAGAGAAATCGGCATATGTATATAATCGATCACTCCTTTTCTCTCTTTATATGAAAAGAAAGACAAGATCTCAAATGTAACATAATATGTACTTAGGATACATTACACATACTTCCTGTGATATATTAGGATCAGTTTAGGGATAGATGGGATATGGGACAAATCGTTGGAAATCAATAAAGACATCTCAGGACTCTGGATTGAATAGTACTGATAGATGTGGTATCATCGCTGTAATTCATACTCTACAGATATGTCGTAAAAAAGATATATAAATGTTTGTTTTCATACAGTTTTTATGACAAAACGATAAAATATAATACTAAGAAGCTATAAGTACTAAGAAACAGCGTATAAAGCTGCTTGCCAACTACATTTAATTAACATTAGTAATGTCACTACCACTATGTTCAGGCTGTACATGCTTAAAAATTGCTTAATAGTGGAATAGAATACTCAGGGTATATTTTTATTAAAAAATTCGTCCGTGTGTCTGTAAATGTGCTAACAAGTAGAAGAGAATAAGAAATATAACTCATAAATAACATTACATAAGTATCCAAGCAATAGTTTCCGAATTAAAAATCATAAATAAGAAAAGCAAAAACAGCACTAGCTCTTACCTTATTGTAAGCATTTGAACTGGCATTTCTAACACCATTGCTGCTATCCATGTAGGTCTTTACCTGGTTCTCACTGCCTATAGTAGATATCTCTGATATAGAAGCTCCACGTCGTTTTCCTGAATATTTTTCAGGTTTAAGTAAACTGTAAAAAAAAAAAAAAACACAGAGAATCATGTCACAGAACAATGTAACTTCCATTCAAAAAATCAATTTTACGATATCTTGATTTCTTGAAATACCTTGGGTATTGTGGTCCAAACTGTGTGTAACAGCAGTTGTGTAGAAAACCACGAGAAAAAGGATTGTAGCCGCCGTTAAATTTGCCTGTTACTTGTTCATTGGTGGTTCGCCCTCTAGAAACGAGGACTATGTGAAAGCCGGTCAGTCCAAAAATTGGAATGAATAAGATAATTATCACACCCATAAGCACAATTCTGTGACAAAGTTAAGGATTTCAATACGATCAAATGTAGTTATAAGTATTGCGAAGCGGTAAAACAAGGTTAAAAATTATTTTTGGAATTATCATCTTCATTGCAAAGGATACGCGACAATAGTGTTAAGTTCACTCAGTTTTTGTTTATGCTCCAACACATAGGTCAGGCAGAGCCCAAATATACTGAGCATATGAATACTGAGTGAAAGAAGAAAGAAGAAGAAGTATCTGTAATTCCTTCTACCAATGCAGTTGTTTACCCAAGGGCAGTGATGATCAAATGTCTAAAATATGTAAATACAATATGTAATATCAATGATGATTCATTCTCTCAAAGAGATGTGTGTCACTAAATGTATCCAACAAATATCTAATAAGAGACAAAACATACCTCAATACAATGATTACAGACACTGCAATGTGAGCAACGTGGAGGTCGGTAGAACTTGCAGGTGACGCACCACTTCATACGTACTGTAATACCGTTTATCTCTACATTCTTATATAACGGTGCCCGAAAATCATCTTCCCGATCTTCGTCAGGAGGTGCTTTAAATGGAAAAAAGAAACAACAAGATAAAACCAAATGCGGTCGCGTTCTTACTTGTGTTTCGTACATCAAAAACACTTGATTTTACACATCAGATATTCTCCGATATCTCAAATCCACTCGTATATACCTTTTGGTATGACACCAGGATCCATGAACGTCGCTAACGAAAAGTTTATCACCACAAAGAAGGTGATGACTCCCTGTAAAGCGGGTACCAACACACCCCATGGATAGACGTTGTAATAATACGGGCACCTGCGAACGAACAAACGAAGTTGACTTTAAAGGACTTCGATTATTTCGCGATGAGAATTTACACATTTTCCTCGTGTCGGAGCCTCCGAGAGAGAAAGAGAGAGAAAGAGAAAGAAAGAGAGAGTACGACGAACGAGTGTGGTGCAACACACATGACACACAAGAAGAAGACACGCAAACTTACGGGAAGGCGAAGAAGAGCGTGGTGGTGCCGAGTAAAACCGTCCACGCGAACGTAGCTGGCAGATATCTTGTCTTCACATCGCATTTCGGCATTCTGCATGCTCCACTTCGTGGTCCACGAATTAGCGAAATTATTAATGTACAGGATTTCTGCTAGCAGGAAACATGGCCGCGTCCATCGGGCGCTCGGCTTATTTGCAATTCGTTAGAACCGCGGCGAGCGCGGGCGCGCATTTCTCGACTTAGCCGTTCCGGGCTACCGTCCGCGGCACAACGACGCCGATCGGGGGCCCGGTGTCCGTCACACGCGCGTCATTCCGGCAAAACCATCCGTCGCGTTATTAATATTTGGTTGGTTGGTGCATATGTGGCTCAAAGGACCGACTCAAGATAGTCCATACGCCATTCTAAGCTTGAATAGTGATTTTCTTGGTATGTTCACCGTAAACGGTTGAATGGTTGATTTCTCCAACTGGAGTAACAAAGTACCCCAGANAACTGCGCAGATCTAGGGTCTTTAAAAACTACCAGATACGGAGCACACGCTCCGGAGCAATACTAGCGACACGTATAAGACTCTGANTCGTGATCACTGGGAACTTAGGATTAAAGAGTGGTGGTATTGTCAGGAATAGATGTGTACTAATGTTATGTTTAAATAGGAATTTGCGCTTCTGCAACGAAAGCCAGGANTGCGTGCATGGCACGTACATTACTTGAGAAGGCGACTTCAGTTACACTGAAGGGGGGACTAAACCCGTTATGGAACAAGTCAATCTGTAGTCGATCGGACGCGTCTTTGTTTAAAGGGCATTTAAAAAATATATG